AAACGTCAGCTTTCCTGCTCCTCTGATGCTGCCTGGCCTGCTGTGTTCATCCAGCTCTACACCTTGTTATCTCTGAATTTCAGCTTGATTCCTTTACTATTATTTGGTATTATAGTTTGTTTGTAAGTCGGAAAGTCGTGTGTTAAAGCCGCACTCCAAGAAATTATGTAAGCTAACATTTCAATGCAGATCTGAGAGTCTGCTGTACTCTCAATGCTCCTATCTACTGGGTGAGTCATTAAACTGTCACCCTGTTCCTGTGATGTGGAAGGATACTGAAGATCCCAGGCGCTATTTGAAGAAAATGCTCCCAATGTGTTGGATAACATACCTTTCTCATCTGACATTGACATAAAAATAGTTGTTTATTTTGTGCTGCTTCAGGATCCTTTCTGCATGTAAAATGACACCCAGTTTGACCTACGTAATAACCGTGATTGCACCCCAAACTAATTCACTCAATGTGATACATTGCATGTGATGCTTTTGCTTTTCTCTCAGATTGGATGTCTGATTTTAGCCCCTTTTATAATTGTTATAATTTTCTATTTTTTCCTCATAGGTATTGTAGTAGTGGATGAGTTACATATGTTGGGGGATTCGCATAGGGGATACTTGTTGGAACTTCTCTTAACCAAAATACTGTTTGTTACTCAAAAGAGTGCAAAGAGGTATGTTTTTATACTGAGAAGCAAGAAACTTAAGCAGAAAATGACATTGAACTCCTGATGTCCCTTGTTTCTTGTTGGAGAGATTTTAATCATACGTTCATTACTAATTTGCTAGGCAAAGATTCATTCCTGATCTTGGGTGTTAAGCCGAAGAACGAAAGTGCTTTTCTACATGGTATTGTACAGAAGGAGACCATCTGATCCTTTGAATAATTGTTCTTTGGAAGAGCTATCCAATTACTTTCACTCACCTACATTATTTCCAGAGCCTTATAAGATGAGGTTAAATTCCAGTATATGTTCTTTCAAAAAAAAATTGCAATCTTATTGCATTTCAATTTACATGTGTTTACATTCTTGGTTTTGACTGTCACACCTCTGATATTGTACTCCTGATGTACAAAGTCCGTGTCAATCTTGTGAATTTGCAGCAATGGATGTGACTTTAAATACACAGCCTGATGTTTACAAAACAGTGCTTCAAGAGAGTGTCATAAGACTGGGGAGATTTCAGTAATCCAGAATCCTGGGGACCAGGGTTCGAATCCTAACGTGGTAGATGGTGGCATTTGAATCCAATGAAAATCTGGAATTAAAAGTCTAATGATCACCATGAAATCATTGTCTATTGTCATAAAAAAAAATCACTAATGCTCTTTTGGGAAGGATAAACTGGTCCTCCTAATAAACCTACGCATGGCTCCAGACCCACAGCAGTATTATTGCTTCCTAACTCTGAAATGGCATAACAAGCCACTCTGTTGTAACAATTGCTAGAAACTGTCAATAAAGGAAAAAAAGTGGATGCACTGAGGCGCTGGAAATGACAAAAGCCCTGTCGACCCTTCAGAGTCCTTCTTACTAATGTCTGGAAACTAACACTAAAATTGGGAAAGCTGTCTCAGGCTGGTTGAGCAACAGCAGACATAGAAATACATCAGAATCATATCTTAGAGACAATATCCCAGACACCACCATCACTATCCTTGGATATGTGCTGTCCAACCAGGAGGACAGACCCAGCAGAGGTGGTGGCATGTCAGTATACAGCCAGAAGGGAGTTTCCCTGGGAGTTCTCAACGTTGACTCTGGACTCCACAATGTCTAATGTCAACTACTCAAAAATGGGCAAGGAAACCTCCTGCTGATTACCACATATGCCTCCTCAGATGATGAATTAGTGTTCTCCCATGTTGAACAGCACTTGGAAGAAGTAATGAGAGTGATAAGGGCACAGAATGTACTCTGGGTGGGGGATTTCAATGTCCACCACCAATGGTGGCTTGACAGCAGTACGACTGATCGAGCTGGTCAAACTGCTAGACTGGGTCTGTGGCAGATGGTGAGGGAATCAACAACAGGGAAATACGTACTTGACCTCATCCTTACCAATCTGCTGGCTATAGATGCATCTGTCCGTGACAGTTTCGGTAAGCGTGACTACTGCACAGTCCTTGCGGAGATTAAGTCCTGTGTTCACATTGAGAATACCTTACAGTGTGTTATGTGGTACTGTTGTTGTGCTAAATGGAACAGAAACAGATCAAATAACTCAAGACTGGCATTTCTAAGGCACCTTAGGCCATCAGCAACAGCAGGATCGTATTCCAATACAATCTGTTACCTCATGGCCTGGCGTATCTCGCACTCTACAATTACCATCAAGCCAAGGGACCAACCCTGGTTCAATGAAGACTGCAGGAGAGTGTGTTAGGAGCAGTTCTAGGCATACCTAAAAAATCAACCTGTGAAGCTACTAAACAGCAAGTGATAAACGGGGCTAAATGATTCCACAACCAACACATCAGATCTAAGCTCTGCAGTCTGCCACATCAGTCAAGAATAGTGGTTGACAATCAAATAACTTGCTGGAAGACAAGGGCCCACAAATGCTGAGAGGATTCTTTCCCACATGGGAGAGTCTAGGATCAGAGGGCATTGTCTACGAATAAAGGAGCGCCGATTTAAGACTGAGGTAAAGAGGAACGTCTTCTCTCGGAGAGTTGTGCATCTTTGGAAACCCATGCCACAGAGAGCTGAGGGGGCAAAGTCCTTGGGTACATTTAAGGCTGAATCTTGATCAGTTGGGGAATCGAGGGGAAAGGACAGGAAAATGATCACGGAGAATGTTGCTCAGATCAGTCATGATCCTGTTGAATGGTGGAACAGACTTAAGGAAATAGCCGACTCCTGTTCCCATTTCTTATGGTCTTAAATATCCCCATCCTTAATGATGGGGAACTCAGCATATCAGTGCAAAGATGAGGCTGGAACATTCACAACAATCTTCACCAGAAGGGCAGAGTGGACAATTCATCTTGGCCTCCTCCAATGAACATTCATCCCCCGGCAACCTTCCGACAACAACATTGAAGACCTTTGCTTCAGAACCTCCTACGTCTGAGGCCAGGCTGGCCCAGTACAACCATAACACTGGCATCTACCTGATAATGTTAAAAATTGTCCAGGGATATTCTGTGCACAAAAGCAGGTCAAATCCATCACTTACTACCATATCAGTCTATTCTCAATTATCACTAAAGTGATGGAAGAGATTATCAACAGTAGTATCAAACAGCACCTGCTCAGCAATAACCTGCTCAGTGACACCCAGTTTGGGTTTTGCCAGGGTCACTCAGCTTCTGACCTCATAACAGACTTGGTTCAAACATGGACAAAAAAGCTGAATTTCAGAGGTGAGGTGAGAGTTATTGCCCTTGACACCAAGACCACATTTGACCATGTATGACATCAAGGAGCCTTAGCAAAGCTGGAATCAATGGGTATCAGGTGACAAACTCTCTGCTGATTGGAGTCACACGTGGCTCATGGAAAGATGATTGTGTTTGTTGGAGGTCAGTCATCTGAGCTCCAGGACAACTCTGCAGGAGTTCCTCTGCATAGTTTCCTAGGCGCAACCATCTTCAGCAGCTTCATAAATGACCCATCCCTCCACCATAAGATCAGAATTGGACATGTTAGGCAATGATTGCACAGTGTTCAGCACCCTTTGTGACTCCTCCAATAATGAAGCAGTCCATGTTCAAATGCAGCAAGACCTGGACAAATATCCAGGCTTGGACTGAAAAGTGGCAAACAGCATTTGTACCTCACAAATGCCAGGAAAAGGCGGTTTCCAACAAGAGAGAATTTAACCATTGTCCTTTGACATTATCATTACTAAATTCCCCATTACCAACATCCTAGGGTTTACTAGGGTTTACAGGAAACTGAACACTACTAGCCATATAAATGTAGCTACAAAAGCAGGAGAGAGGCAAAATCTCCTGCAGTGAGTAACTCACCTATTGACTCCCTAAAACCTGTCAATCAACTACAAGGCACAAGTCAGGAGTGTAATGGAATACTCCCCAATGGCCTAGATGAGTACAAATCCAACAACACTCAAGAAGCTTTTACATCATCTAGGAAAAAGTAGCATGCTTGATTGGTACCACATCCCTAAATATCCATTCCCTCCAGCACCAATGCTTAGTGGCACCAGTGTATGCCATCTGCAAGATGCACTGAAGGAATTCACTGAGGCCTCTTAGACAGCATCTTCCAAACTCACGACCACTTCCATCTCAAAGGACAAACAGCAAACGGATGGGAACACCACCACCTGCAAGTTCCTGTCCAAGCCACTCACCATCCTGACTTGGAAATAAATCACAGTTCTTTCAGTTGCTGGGATAAAATCCTCAAAATCCCTCCTAAATAGCATTCTGGGTCAATACAGCGCATGGACTGCAGTGGTTCATGGAGGCAGCTTACCACCAGCTTCCCAAGGGCTACTGGGGATTGGCAATAAATTCTGGCCCAGGCTGCAATGCCCCTCCCTCATCCCTTCAGTGATTTTTTAAAAATAGTGTTGGTTAATTTTTTAATCATGAACAGTTGTCCTGGATATGTATATTTATGAAGGAGGAGAAGTGTTATGATTTTTAGAATGCGTTAACTTCTGCTTCACAATGAAATGTAATAAAGGCTTATTATTTTATGTGATATGTCAAAGTTTCCTTTGGCTATTGATGGATGTGTTTTGGTATTCCAGGTATAAGGCTGCAGCAAAAGGACAGAGGCTAATTGATGGAGTACAGATTGTAGGGATGAGTGCCACTCTTCCAAACTTGGGTATCGTAGCAACCTGGTTAGATGCAGAGCTGTATTGTACTGATTTCAGGCCTGTACCTCTATTGGAATTAGTAAAAGTTGGCAACACAATTTATGATTCAGAAATGAAAGTGGTGCGTGAATTTCAACCTGCTGTTCAGATTAAGGTAAGGGTTTTTGGAGTGTATTCAAATTGTTATTAGCAATTCTATTAGAATTTTGAAAAAAAAATCAGTAATTACATTCTGAAAGTGATGCTGGAACTTTTCGTGCTACATTGCTAAAATAGCAAATGATTGTTGCAACCTGGTAAAACTTAGGTTAAATGGGTGCCTGATTGGGTTGGACATTTGGGATCTGGGTTTAAATGAGGTCAGGCAGCTTGAATTACTACTCTCATTGTACTGGAGGTTAGATCCATGTAAAATTAGTTTGAAAGTCATAAATCAAAAGCACTTTTGGATATTGGTGCAAAGGTACAAATTGAACATGTTAACTTTGTGATGTTTGAAGGATGGAAAATGGAAACTGTTGGATTGTGGAATTCTGAGATGTGTTGTTTGAGACCCTTTAGGGAATTCCAGAGCAGTAATTTAGTAGTGGTGTGAGGACCCCTGAAAACACGAAAGACTGGGAAATAATTTTGGAAAGTAGTTTTGTTATTGATAAATTTTACTAGTATACCTTAACAGAAAGTAGTAAGTCAACACACGCTGAAAAATTGGAAAAATCTCTTTGAACAAAAAGAAATTTGATGATCATGTGAACCATTGACATCCCTTCAAAAGCATTCTGAAAACTGCACTTAAGTCTTGCTATGTCCAGCTTGGGAAATGCTTTTTTTATGAAATGCTGTCACCGCTTTGACTTCATCAGCATGACATTCACCACATAGAAGAAAAGACTTTACATCAGATATGAGGTTAAAGCAAAGGAAGAGTTTCCACTTGATTTACAACTCCAGATTTGAGTTGGGCAGTTTATCTGTTAGTCACAAAAGGACTTTAAATTGGATAAAGAAACCCATGAATAAGGCAAGATGTAAGTTCAATAAAAGAAAATACATTTCACTTTCTAAATTAGTTTTTCCTGCAATTCTGATATCTCTTTTTGTGAGGAGCTTACAATGTTCTGGACGTTTGATGTCTTCACTATGATGCAAAGCACAATTCAGGTGAACATTCTCTGCTTCAGTGAAGTGTAAATTTGGTGTGTCCTTTACAATCTTAGCCATAATGGGCAACATAAGTTCAAAGGACTTTTCAAGAGTAGATTTGGCACTTTAGTTTTCTGAATGCTCAACCAATAAAACCAGAGTATTTCATTGCAATTTTTACTTATTTATGAGTGGTTGGAAAATGTTTAGAGTTCATTAAATAATTTGAAAGGCAAAGCTCCCACTTCATCCAGTGTTGGGAAAAGAAGCATTTATTTTTGACTTTAATTTTATTTTACATTATCCTTGTGTTTTGACCCTCCATTCAAACTGTTAGATGCCTCAGCCTTCCACTGGAAAGCTCAACGAATGTGCATGTACGGGAATAATGACCAAAATGTACTTCTTACACAGTGGTTTGTTTGGAAGTTTGAGTCAGAGACATTTTAACTACCAGATCCCAAACATTATACTTGTGTAGGAAGTCAGAGCTGTAATTGTGAATCAAATATAATAGTACACTTTTTGTACATTGCTATTTAATTTGCATATGTATGTGATTAACTGTAGGGTGATGAGGATAATATTGTGAGCCTTTGCTACGAGACTGTGCAGAATGGTCACTCTGTCCTACTGTTCTGTCCTTCCAAGAATTGGTGTGAAAAGCTGTCTGATACTATAGCCAGAGAATTCTATCATCTCCACCACATGACAAGCACTGAAGGTAAGCTTTGGTCAAGTGACAACTAAGGCTGGTCACAATAATTCCAGTTGCAGATGCTGTTATAGTCCCTGCAGAGACCGATGACTTTTAAAAACAGATATGCATTTCTTAGCAACTGATCAAAAGAATAGCACAGTGAGATTTTGTGGTTTAAATATTTTTGCTGTAAGTAAAAATGTAAAATTAACACTGCTTAATAGGCAACTATACATTGAACTAAAGAAGATGTACCCCCGCTAACAGACTAATGTAACTAGAATACTTTAGTATCCATTTGTACATAACACCTTGCTATCAGCAGATGTGTGTAAACTTGCAGATTCAAGTCCAAGCCCCTCCCAAGTTTTACAGAAGGCTCCCTTCTCCCTGTCAGGGAGAGTCTTCAGCATCCTTTGAAAATAATTTCACACAGTATTCTGATAATCCCTGAACTGACTTCCAGCAGCAAAGTCCACTCTAGCAACTCCTTGGTTCTTAAATTCCGTCAGGTCCTAGTCCTTTGAATTTAAAAAGCAGTTTTTTAAATTCATTCAGGGCATTGCTGGCTGGGCCAGTGTTTATGACTTATCCCAAGTACCCCTTGAGAAGGCGATGATGAGCTGCCTTATTGAACCACTGTAATCCAGTTAGTGTAGATACATATACAATGCATTAGGGAGGGAGTTCCAGGGTTTTGACACAGCAACATTACAGGAATGGTAATATATTTCCAAATCAGGATAGTGAGAGGCTTGGAGGTAAACTTGCAGGTGGTAGTGTCCTCATGTACCTGCTGCCTTTGTCCATATGGTAGTGGTTCTGAGTTTGAAAGGTGCTCTTTTATGGTGCTTGGTTGAATTTTGTACTGCATCTTGTAGATGGTAGATACTGCTGCTACTGAGCATTAGTGTTGAAAGGAGTGAAATTTCATGGTTATGGTACTGATCAAGTAGGCTACTTTATCCTAGATGATGTCAAGCTTCTTGAGCGTTGTTGAAACTGCAAGTGGGGAGTGTTCCTGACTTTGCTTGTAGATGGTGGACAGATTTTGGGCTGTGAGGTTCTGAGTTAATTACTGCAGGACTCTTTGCCTTTGACTCTTTTGTAGTCACATATTAATATGGCTAGTCCATTTCAGCTCTGGTCTGTGGTAATCCCTAGTATGTTTGATAATGGAAACCAAACTGAGCATCACTGAGCTGGTCATTGTTAGTCAAGTGCTGCTAGAGTTCTGTTGATGATGCCTTCTACCACTTTACTGATGTTTGAGACTGGATGGATTTGCGTACAGAATATACATGGCATCTGGGATGCTGGGGTCCTTCAGAGGAGGCAGAGATGGAATCATTCACTCACACGTCCGCCTGAAAATTGTTGCAAGTCTTCAGCCTCATCTTTTGCACTGATGTGCTGGGCTCTCCGTCACTGAGGATAGGCATGGTTATGGAGTTTCCTCTTCCAGTGAGTTATTTACTTGCCCTCTGCATCCTGCACAGTGGTTAATGAAAACAATTTTTTTTCCCTCTCTGATTGTTCCATGTTTAAGACTGTTCTCTGGTAGTACTATTGACAAAGGCTGTTGCTTTAATAAACAAAAACTGAAGCTGTTTTTATGTTCAATTCACCTAAAGCTGAGAGATCAATCCAGTTTGAATTCCCTTGAGCACGCATTTCCAAAAGCCGTACAATTATTTTTTGGTTGTGAAGTAGCAAAAGAAATAGCTTTCAAATTGGCCAATACAACTAAAGGAAAACGGGCTTATATACATTGAAATGGTTTTGGAAAAAGGGATATTGCTCTGTCAATCCTACTGATCACCATAAGTGGTAATCATTGAAGGTTGAATGTATTGTAAATCATTCACTAATTCAAATGTTTATCCCACTGTGAAGAGTCTCCACATGGTCAGAGAGATGTGGGGGTTCACAAACAAAAATCTTTGTAGGTGGCAGGAAAACAGGATTTGAAAAAAAAATAGAACATTGGGATTTTATAAATAGAGGCATAGATTACATAAAACAGAAATTTGCGAAAAAACTGTTAGAAATCACAGGCCTTACGTAGGTTATTTTGTTTATTTCTGGGTGCCACATTTCAGTTCAGTAACCAGAAGACACTATTTTGTGATAATTGGGTAAGTAGCAGATGGTAGGTGAAGAATTATTTTTATTATGCAGCGTGTTATGATTTGTATTGCACTTTCCAATAAAGTGGTGGATGCAGATTCAGTAGTAACTTCTGAAAGGGGATTTGAAAAGGGAAATAATTGCAGGGTTATGGAGAGAGAGAATAGTTGCCTTTTCCTGCTATTTCTTTCAAAGTGCTGGCATGGGTATGATGGGCTGAATGATGAAATCTTGTGCTATATATTCTATATTCTTTATTGATAATCATTATCTTGTGCTACTATCTAGTTACAACTTTGACCATAGGGTATCATTAAGTTAAACTACGTGATTTGTGCTTTACATTTTATTTTATTTTTTATGTTTTATTTAGGATTTGTAAAAGCATCCAAATTGCTCCCTTTCACCCTACACAGGGATGAACTCCAAGAGACAGTGGATCAGCTAAAGCGCGCTCCAGCTGGGCTTGATGCAGTGCTAGGCCGCACCGTACCTCAGGGAGTGGCCTTTCATCATGCTGGTATTACAGTTTCTTTTTATTCCTTTGTAGAATGTAATGTTAACTACTTTCCCTTGATGTTGAAAATGTTTCATAAACTAAAGCCGTAAGGCATATGTGTAGAACAAAATATTAATTTTGCTAGCTGCGTGAGGGTTAACATGACTCTTTTATAGGAAACTGGCTTGGTTCGATGTTTTAGATGAATGGAGATTTTTTGTGGGTGTGAAGATAGCTGAGATAATAGAGGTTTACCTAAACGCAGCTTACTTGAATGAGTGTGTGCAAGGCCCAGATTTTCAACATGAGCCCTCTCTGCCGTGACGAAAATTGTCAAACATTTGAAGTTCTGAACCTGAACGTATTATTTCTGATTTTCCTGGGGGGGGGGGGGGGGGTTGCTCTGGTTTCATGCATGTGAAGATAGTTGTCCACTTAATTGGGCAGTCATCTCCATTTAAATCTTGTTTTATTCTCTCTGTTACCTGGAACCTAGAATGCACAGAGCAGACCAGGACTGAATTTGTGAATTTATCTTGGATAGCCAGATTACCCCTTTGGGGAGCTGAAGTTCCCCCATGGCTATAATTCCAGGGCGAGGGAGGTTGTGATTAGGGTGGGAGGGGCATGACCAGGTGCCCTTTGACGTTGTTAAAAGTGTATATGAATTTGTCTAAAAGGTGCGTGAACTTATTGGAACAGTCAGAGCTGTTGGATAATTTAGAACACAAGTGTCTATTTTCACCAGAGATTAGTCAAAGGAATTTCATTGTAATGAATGATTTTCTTTAGCCATGAGTATTTTTTAAAATAGTGGCATCACCAATAAATGCTTAACTTTATTTTATAATCATAATCAGTAATGGGTTATTTATGATCAACATTGATTTCTGCCATTCTCATTTCCATGTTAGGATTGACTTTTGATGAAAGGGATATCATTGAGGGGGCATTTCGCCAAGGTTTAATTCGTGTTCTTGTGGCTACTTCCACCCTCTCCTCTGGTGTAAATCTTCCAGCTCGGCGTGTGATTATTAGATCGCCGATGTTTAATGGGCGGCTTCTTGATGTTATCACTTACAAACAGATGTCTGGGAGAGCTGGAAGGAAAGGAGTGGACACAATGGGTAAGCAGTCAGTTGTTTTATATCTACTGTTTTTGGAACCCTGATTTCAGTAGCAAATTTAAGCTAGATGTGCTTTCACAATTACAACATGTTAATGTTGGTCCTTCTGAAGGCATTGAGGAATGGGGAGGGGCATTGGTAGCAGAGGAAAGGGGTGCTATTGAGAATTGGTAGACCTGATTTAAAATATTACATATAAAAATATCTAACATTGCAATTGATTCAAAGTTTTGTAAGTAGTAGTACTAGGATTCAATTTATGGATGCACAACTGCCTTTATCTATAATAATCTGCCTTTCTGTTTTTGCCACCAAAGTAGATAACCTCATATTTATCCACATTAAATTTCATCTGCTGTGCCTCTGCCCACTCACTCAACTTGTCCAAATCACACTAAAGCATTGCTATACTCTTCTCACAGCTCACCCTCCTACCCAGCTTTGTGCCATCTATAAACTTGGAGATATTACACTTAAGTTTCCTCATCTAAATCATTAATATATATGTTGGGAATAGCTGCTGTCCAAGCACTGATCCCTGCAGTACCTCACTAGGCACTGGCTCTCACTCAGAAAATGAGCCGATTATTTCTATTCTTTCTTTCCTGTCTGCTAGCCAGTTCTTGATCCATGTGAGCATGTGAGTACACTATCCCAATTGCATGTGCTTTAATTTTACACGCTAAACTCTTATTTGGGATCTTATCAAAAGCCTTTTGAAAGTCCAAATAAATAACATCCACTAGTTTTCCCTTATCAATTTACTACTTAATGTCCTCAAAAAAATTCAGCAGATTTGTCAAGCATGATTTCCCTTCCACAAATCCATTCTGACTTTGCACAACCCTTTTTGAGAGAAAAACAATCTTGCCTCCTGCTTAAAAGGATGACCCATAATTTTAAAGCAGCTTCCTAACTTTGGACTCATTCATAGGAGGAAATATTCTGATCACGTTTGCCTTATCAACACTATTAAGGATCTTGTAGATATTTTTCATCAACTTATTCAGGTGTCTTTTGACAAACCTCTGGAACAGGTGGGAAATGAGTTGAGGCCTTCTAACTCAGAGGTGTTTCCGGCTTGTTTCAAATAAAATTTTTACGTTTGTGTATATTATGGACTGATTGGGCAAACTAGTCTGTGAGAATTGACATGAATATTTCAATTAATTTCTAATCAATTCTCTTCGGTTATCTTGAGGAAAGATACCTTTTTTCCTGGACTGTAATTTTTAAAATTATTTATTCATGGAACGGAACATTGCTGGACATGCCATTATGCCTTGCCCACCCCACCCCTAACTTGAGAAGGTGTTGGTGGTGATGCACCATCTTGAATCGCTGCAGCTCATGTGGTGTAGTTACAACCACAGGGCTCTGGAGGGAGGGAATTCTAGGTCTTTGCCTCAGTGACTGTGAATGAATGAATGGTGGTATGGTTCCAAATCAGGATGGTGTGTGGCTTTGAAGTGAGCTTGCAGCGTGTTCCATCCATTTCTTGCTCTTGTTTTTCTGACTGGAAGATGTTGTAGGTTTTGAAGGTGCTAGAGGGCATCTCTATAGACGGAATCTATTGCTGACTGTGCTCGGCAAAGCATAGTGTGAATTTGTAAGGTGCTGATGGGTGCTGATTGAATCGTCTAAATACGGTTGATCCTCAGACCCTGAGAACTCTTGCAGCAATGTCCTGGGGCTCAGGTGATTGATTTCTATTAACCACAACGATATTCTTGACTGCTCAGTATGACACCAGCTGTTACAGGCTCTCCCCCCGTTACCTTTTGAAATGAATTTTCCTGGGGCCCTTTGATCCCACACTTGGTCAAATGCTGCCATGATGTAAAGGGCAAACACTTTCATCTCAGCTCGAGATTTTGCTCAATTTGGCTGTTTTTTTCCATTTTTGGACCAAGGATGTAAAGCATTTGGGTGGCCCTGAAGGAACTCAAACTTTGAATCTGTGTTCAAATTATTACTGAATGAGTGCTGCTTGATAATGCTGTTGACGCATCTTCCATCACTTTGAGTGTAGACTGATGAGGCAGTAATTGGCTGGTTTGTATTTGTCTTGCTTTATGTTGACAGGATGCGCCCAGGCAATTTACCACATTGTCTGGTGGAGGCCATTGTTACAGCTGTACTACCATGTCAATCAGTATCTATAGCAGTCCCGTACTTTCCCAGCTGGAACTGATAAAGATTTATAGCTCACTTCACAGTAGTTCTGCAGATTCGAATTAAATCAAAATCATTTATTAAATAAGATGTGAATGAAGTATTGGGATATGCATTTGAACTGAAGTGCGATAGACCTGAAATAAACAGTAGCAAAATAATTTGTGTTAATTTTATCAAAAGTTATATACAAGTTCATTATTATCTACTACATTACATTTTACAATATATGTACTACATATCCAGAAAATCTCTGCAGAGACTTGAATTGTCCTCAATTTTTATAGTGAAAATGCATGAAATAGAATGGGAATTACAGTGAGCAAATTTTTTTCTGAATTCATCATACATTTGATTTTTTTTGTGTGGAATAGCAAGGTGAGAAAGAAAGCAAATTAAAAATAAAAATGTTTAATGTTAAATTTTGGTCCAGGTGAAAGTATACTGGTGTGTAAGAATGCAGAGAAGGCAAAAGGAATAAGCCTGATACAGGGCTGTCTTAAACCCATTCGTAGCTGTCTCATGAAGAAGGAAGGAGAGGGTGTCACTACCAGTATGATCCGAGCTATCCTTGAGGTAAGATGAAAGATTGGCAGGACCTACTTAAAATTGAAGGAATTTAACCTTTGTGAATATAGCTCTTGGCTACAAATCATTACCTCTTTAGAAACTAGTGTCCACATTTTATTTTCTGTCCCCTTATTAATAATTGTTAATGTAGAATGTGTCATATGATACTCATATGTGTGATACTCTTCAAGTTTAAATTAGCTTTCAGATAATAAAAGTTTGGAAGTTGTAAATCCCCATGTCATGTTGTTGTTTTGCATACAATAGCATTATTAAATATACAAAATGTGAACCTGTAGGAGCGACCTTTTGGAGGCAGTGAATTTGAGGAGACAGCAGAGTTCAGACACGTGGCAGTTTATTCAAGCATTCACCAGTGTCATACAGGAAGAGGTCAGAGACCTCCCCGAATCCGGCCTCAATGTGAGGGTTCAATTTCCCCTTTAATCTTTGGCTTAGATTGGAAGAGAGCTCTAATTTTAATACAAACAAATTGCCTTTTATATATTTACTTGTTGCTTTAACATGGCGGCATATACTCCCTCCCCCTGTATACTATTGGTTAATTAGTGCTGGGTTATGTGACTATGATTGTGTTTTTAGTACATCACTCTATATTAATAATTGTTTGTTGCTGTGATCTGATTGGGCTATTTTGGTATGTGAGAAGTTGAACTTTGCATGGTTACCAGTGACCCTTATGTTTCGACCATGATGTCTGTGTCTGCTTATCTTGTATAAGGCTGTAACAGAGGCTTTTTGAGCTTTCCCACCATAGAGAGTATAGAGAATGCCTTCCAATTTTCAAACTGTCCTTGTTAAGCGGTAAGAGAAGCTCCCTTCTGTTTTGCCTGAAATTGGGTTTTAAACTTACTAATGCTTTTATAAATGTATATATTTATATATGTATGTTAAATCTATAATTCATTTGGAAACTATATCAATAATTATCTTGAAGAATCTTAACTAAAACCTACTTGTGGTATAATAACTGATAGATTAGAGACGACTTAAGAGAAACAATTAATTGTTGTGAAATGTTCTTAGGATAGCAATTTCATGTTGCACATCCGATCTTATAAACAGCTATTGTTTTATGTGCTGAGAACACAACTTTTTCCCACACTTTCTAATTTCTGTTAAACATGTACTGCAAAGCTTGTTGGGATTTTCGTCAGCCATTATATGCTGTTTTGTCCAGGCAGCCCTAACAGAACCAAATAAATTTCTGACTCCAGAGTCCAAATTTGTCAATGTGTATATGTGTTGAAAGTTGCTTACATTAGTGTTTCTGAAAACCTCAGTGATCTGTTTACATCTTCACAGCAGCCCATTTGATGATTCATTTATAGGTTGAATCATCGCAGCATTTGTAGTAAAACTATAATAAATTCAGATGTTTATATTTCTCTCTGTTGTATTGAGAAATAAAATATACAAGAGGGAATGGATGGAACCTTTCCAGCAGATGCTCATCTTGATGCCTGAGAAGGCTAATGCCAGCTCCCAGAGGAAGGAAGGGCAAACAGTTTTTCCTGCCAAGTCACTTGGTCAAAATTATATAAATTGCTTAAATTCTGAAAGGATTACTGTCTACAAATCTGTACAGACTTCAATCTGTTAACTAGATTAGCTACTTAACAGTTAACTTACAGCATTTTGTAAGGACTCTAACCCTAAATTGATCTCAATCTCAGACACTAATTCCAATAATAAAAGTTCTGGATCAGCAATCATTTATGATGATGTAACCGAGCTGCCTTTGCAGCCTTGGTATTTACTTTGTTATTTAATCATAACAATTAGTTATTTTTCACATAACGTTTCATATGTATGACCCACGGATTGTAATTTATTAGTTTGTTTAGTTTTATTCATTATGGGTTGTGGGCATAGGTGGCTAGGCCAGTATTCATTGACCATCCTTAATTACCCAGAGAAAAGTTTGGAGCCAACCATATTGCTGTTGAGCTGGAGTAACATGTCGGTCAGACCAGGTAAGGATGGCAGATTTCCTTCCCTGAAGGACATAAGTGCACTAGACAGGTTTCTACAATAATCAACAGTGGTAACATGCTCACCATTAGGCTAGCTTTTAATTCCAGATTATTTTTTATTAAATTCAAATTTTGCTATCTGCTATGATGGGACTGGGGCCGGTGTTCCCAGGACATCAGCGTGGGGTTCTGGATTCCCACGCTCATGACAAAATAATGAGAAAGAAAATAGATTCAAGATTGTATGTTTGAAATAGTTGGTAAGTGGCATTATGTTCCAATTCCATGGTTCTGTCTAGTTTGGACTAGTTCGTGTCAAAATAATCCATCAGATTTGAGGAATGTTCTGGATATTATAAGATTTTTAAAACTGTTGGCTCTTTTCCTTGGTTTCAGATAATAGTAGGCGGTGTTGCCAGTACCCCAGAAGATGTCCGTGTGTATGCCTCATGCACACTGCTGGCTGCCAGTGTACAAGGAACTGAGGTAACATCAATCCAGGGCAATGCTATTGAGGACTCTATACAGTACCTAATGGAGAATGAGCTTATTCAAATACTGGAAGAGGACCAGGAAGGAGAGAAAAGTAATGTTTTCCTTTTCCTTTTTTTCCCTTTAGCAAATAAAATTTCACACATTTTCTAGAGTTCAGCCAAACTACCACATATGTTGAGGTTGGTTGGCTCGCCGAGCTGTTTTCTTGTTCCGCAGACGTTTCGTTACCGTGCTGGGTAACATCCTTGGTGCAGCCTCTGAGGAAGAGTCGGTGTGTTTTTCCGCCTGGTTTTTAAACTCTGGGCTCCGTTGCGATGGATTGCCTCACTTGCGGGTTTCCTCCGGAGTGGAATGTATATGGGGTCGAGTTCAATGTGTTTATTAATAGCCTGCTTCGTGGAGTGCCATGCTTCCAGGAATTCTCGTGCTTGTCTCTGCCTAGCCTGTCCCAGGATCTTGGTGTTGTCCCAGTCAAAGTCATGGTTCTCCTTGTCCATGGCTCGGCGAGCCAACCAACCTCAACACCCACAACCTGAGCTACAGATCTACTCCAAAACCTTAGATACCCCATATGTTTTCTACTAAAGCTAGTTCCATTTATCACAGTTGACACATCCCAAATTGGAATGTGTCAAATGTAACTCCATTAATTTAAAAAAAAAAGAAACAAAACATGATTAGTCTATCATTAGCAGCAGATAAAATTCTACAGTCCATTATAAAGGATATTAAACCAGGCCACATAGAAAACATCAACAGGACTACATAAAGTGAACATGGATTAATGATAGAGAAGGCGTACTTGACAAACTTCCTAGAATTTTTTGAGACTGTAACTTGTAGAATAGATGGGGAAGAACCAGTGGATGTGGTGTATTGGGATTTTCATGAAGTGATAAACTTCCATATAGGAAGCTAGTGTGCACAATTAAAGTGCATGGGATTAGGGTAATGTACTGGTATAGATTGAGAATTCATTAGCAGACAGGAAAAAGATTAGGGATAGCTGGGTTTTTTTTGAAGTGAAAGGTGGTATCCATTGGGGTACCGAAGCGACCGAGCTATTCACAATATATATCACCCAATGATATAGGTGAGGGAATTAAATGTAATATTTCAAATTTGCTCACATCACTAAACTAGGAGGAATTGTAAGTGGTGAAAAGGAATTAAAGAACTTTTAAGGAAAGTTAGACTAATTGAGTAAATAGGCAAAAACATGGCAGATGCAGTATAGTGTGGATAACCCACTTGAGTAGAAAAAACTGAATGGCACGATATTATTTAAATGGTGGTGTTTTGGGAAATGTTCATATACAAAGGGACCTGGGTGTCCTTGTACATAGGTCATGGAAAGCAGACACGCAAGTACAGTAAGCAGTTAGGAAGACAAGTGGAAAATTGGCCTTCATTGCAAGAGGATTTGAGAGCAGCAGCAAGGATGTCTTTCTGCAGCTGTGTCACACCTTGGTGAGACTGCACCTGGAGTATTTTGTGCATCATAGGTCTAGTTACCAAAGAAAGGATACACTTGCCATAGAGGGAGTTCAGTGAGGGTTCACCAGAATGATTCCTGGGGTAGTGGGTTGTTGTATAAGTGAGATTGTGTTGACAAGGCTGTATTCATTGGAAGAAGGAAAGGGGATCTCATTGAAATGTCTAAAATTCTGACTGAGCTGGACATACAGAATGCGGGGATGATGTTCGCCTGGTGGGGATGTCTGGAACAAGGGGTCATTGTCTCAGGATACAGGGTAGGCCATTTGGGACTGAGAAGAGAAGACATTTCTTCACTTGAAAGTGGTGTCTCTGTGGAATTCGCTGAATATATTTAAAGAGTAAATAGATTTCTAGATATGAAAGGCATCAAGAGGAATGGGGAGAGAGTGAGATAGAGAATCAGCCTTGGTCATATTGAATTGGCAGAGCAGGTTCAGTGGCCTTAATGGCATGCTTTGCTCCTACCTGCTATGTTTCAGTGCTGTACATCTTTAGGAAACTGTTGCTGTTGTACCTTTGCTACTTAAGTTTTGATATTATAATCCTTTTTATTCAGACAGGATGATCTACTTTTACAATTAAAATTTTGTGATGAGGAGTTTGCATTGGACTGTTTTTCAGTTCAGTTTAATTTTTCTCAAATACTTTAATGCATCTGGTACTAGTTAAATGAACCTGATATTTTCAAGCATGGCTTATTAGACATATTGCGATTGTTACTCTCTCATACTTTAGTTATTGTTAACTTGTCTGTTTAAATTTTTTGATTGTTTTTGAAAGTTATTTTGATTCTGCCTCCACCATGTATTATCCCAGTCACTGGGAAAGATGGAAATATGCTCTTGGTAGACTGGTCCGTGTGAACCTGAAATAATTGCTTCAGAGATAAGGGTCTAGGCCTGAAACTGTGCTGTGGTTGCCATGGTGTAATGGTGAGCTCGCTGGTTTTAGGGTGGCACGGTGGCACAGTGGTTAGCACTGCTGCCTCACAGCGCCAGGGACCCGGGTTCGATTCCAGCATCGGGCGACTGTCTGTGTGGAGTTTGCACATGGAGAAGTGTCTGCGTGGGTTTCCTCCCACAGTCCGAAGATGTGCAGGTTAGGTGGATTGGCCACGCTAGATTGCCCATAGTGTTCAGGGAGATGTAGATTAGGTGGGTTATAGGGGTTGGGTCTGGGTGGGATGCTCAGGTTCGGTGTGGACTTGTTGGGCCGAAGGGCCTGTTTCCACACTGTAGGGATTCTATGATTCTTGATTCTATGAAATGTCAATTTTCCTGCTCCTCTAATGCTGCTTGGCTGCTGTGTTCATCCAGCTCTACACCTTGCTATCTGAAATGATTGCTTTTTGATTTCTTCTCTATTTCCTCTCCAGTGAGACTGCAGTGTCCTCTGGTGTATTTTGTTAATAGCATGGGGTTGGGGCCAAAGGAATTTATGAGCCTGCATCAGTGCATTTCCTTATTCAAATATAAAAAGAATACAATAAAAGGTCATTGCACTAAAACAAGCCAGAAGTAAAATGCAGGTTTTATTTATGCAAGATATCTCGTTTGATTTTTCAATTTGCTGTTTTGTATTCTTAGGCTGAAATGCATGTACTATAATTCTGCATGTTAGAAATAATCCTGGATAATTCAAAGGAACATGTTGTTTCTGTCTTTTCTGTTACATTTTCCAAATATTAAACTTTTTTAAAAGTTTTCTTTATCTTTATTGTGAATTAGTTTTTCTGTCTGTGTGTAAACATGTACTTATTCTGTGGAATGCTTCATTGGTCTCAATGTGGACTTTACTAGCTTCAAAATCTCCCCACCTCAGACCTCATCCCACGACCAACCCTCCCTCTCATCCCCGCTTCCTTGACCTGTCCGTCTTCTCTCCCACCTATCCACTCCTCCCACCTCACTGACCGATCCTCACCATTGCCTACCTGCACTCACCTATCGCCATCCCACCTACCTTCCCCAGCCTCACCCCTCCTCTCTCTATTTATTTCAGAGCCCCTTACCCCTCCCCCATTTCTGAGGAAGGGTCCCGACCTGAAACGTCAGCTTTACTGTTCTCTGATGCTGCCTGGCCTGCTGTGTTCCTCCAGCTCCACACTGTGTTATCTCTACTTATTGTCTGGGTTTTGTTTCAACTTCAGGTTTTTACTGGGTCTCAGGTATACTTTATTTCTCAGATAATTTGGTTTAATGATCTTTTTGAGAATCAAAATCCGTTAGTATATGAACCTCTTGAATGAAACATAGCCATTTTAAACTTGCACAGTAGATATATTTTGTGTGCTGACTTATCATTTTGCAGAACACTGAAAATAATGCTTCATTCACAGAATAAATTGCATCATTAAATTCCATTTCTTGGCAAAATTTATTTACCTAAGACTTGAAGTAATTGAAACGGACTAGTTAGTGGGAATATGCTATAAAAGTTGGAGTTTGGAACTGAATTGGACTGCTGTTTCAAAGAGTTGATATGGACATGATGGGCCAAACGGAGGCCTCCTGTTCTTTAAGATTCTAATAGTTTCATTGTACCTACCTTGTCATTTTTTTGTTAGTAGCTCAACTGTATCGACCCACACAGTTAGGAGCAGCCACTCTTGCTTCATCCCTGTCTCCTCCAGATGCATTGAGAATCTTTGCTGACTTACAGAAAGCAATGAAAGGATTCGTTTTGGAGAATGATCTTCATATTCTCTATCAGGTACATCAACCATTTTCTTTGCGATTTAGCATTAATTATTTTTCATGCTACTTATGGAAACTAGGGGATTACAGTTGGAACATCCCTGATTAATTTTGGTCTGATTAGCCTGATGCTCATGTAAGACTGATCTGTGTTTAGTTTTGTACACCTTGCAGTGAGTGTTAGACCATACACATTCCCTATGCTTTTGAGACAGGCCTCACCCCACTGTGAGGCTAAGGCTGTAGCTCCCTTCTGTGCTTAGTGGTGGGTGGAGCACTTTTTATTGGGCTGTTATGAATAGTTTTTGCCTTCAGTGACAACTGTTGATGCTGTCTGACGGGCCTTGGCGACTTACAGCACTGCATTTTGTAAATGGTACACACTGCTGCCATTGTGCATCAATAATGAAAGAAGTGAATCTTGAAGGGGAACTATTGGGAGGTGATGGCATAGTGGTACTACTGCTGGACTGCTAATCCAGAGACCCAGATAACATTCTAGAGACCCGGGCTCAAATCCCGCCACGGGAGATGATGAAATTTGAATTCAATAAATATCCGGAATTAAGAATCTAATGTTGATCGTGAATCCATTGTCAATTGTTGGGAAAAACCCATCTGGTTCACTAATGTCCTTTAGGGAAGGAAACTATCATCCTTAACTGGTCTGGCCTACATGTGACTCCAGACCCGCAGAAATGTGGTTGATTCTTAACTGCCCTCTGGGCAATTAGGGATTGGCAATAAATGCTGCCTAGCCAGCGATGCCCTCATCCTGTGAATGAATAAATAAAAAAAAAATTCAAACTGTATTTGAAAGTATAGGCAAAATATTTTTGAAGTTATTGTGAATGTGGGCAGGTTTATATTGTAGTTAATGCATCATGGTTATTGACCAAGGAGTTGTAGAAATGTCGTAAATGTCATGCTACAGCACTTGACAACTAGTGTTAACAGCGAAAACAGCAGCCCTCAATGACACTTGATAGTCACTTCACATGGACACTTCTAGCAGAACCTGCCAGCAATGGATTAGTCTCTTCAGCCATCTGCCAAGGTGTATCATATGACAGTAGAGGCCTAGACAGAAATACTGGAGATTTCCATCTCCATAACATTGCTCTATCCTGCTTCATCTCACCTGCTGCTAAACCCCTCATTCATGTCTTTGTTATCCCAAGAATCAAAAACACGTAAGAGTCTAGGAATTCTGTGGAGAGTAAGTTGCCTCATGTCTCCTCAGTGCCTGTCCACTATCTACAAAGCAAAAAGTTCTGAGGGTGATGGAATATTCTCCACTTGCTGGATAAGTTCAGTTTTGACAGCACTCGATAAACTTGACACCATCCAGGACAAAACAGCCTGCTTGTTTCACACCCTACCTACCAGATTCAAGATTCATTTCTTTCATTATTAATGCACAATGGCAGCAGTGTGTGTCATCTACAAAATGCATTGCACTAAGTCATAGAATCCCTACAGTGTGGAAACAGGCCATTCGGCCCAACAAGTCCACACTGCCCCTCCGAAGAGCATCCCACCCTGACTCATTCCCCTACCCCTGCAATTCCCCATGTCTAACCCAAACATCCCTGGACACTATGGGCAATTTAGCATGGCCAATCCGTCTAACCTGCACACCTTTGGACTGTGGGAGGAAACTGGAACACCCGGAGGAAACCCACGCAGACACGGGGAGAATGTGCAAACTCCACACAGTCACCAGAGGGTGGAATTGAACCCGAGTCCCTGGTGCTGTGAGGCAGCAGTGATAACTACTGAGCCACCATGCAAGGCTCTTCAGGTAGCACCTTCCAAACCAACAACCTCTATTGCCTAGAAGGGTAAGGGCATCCAATGCATGAGAACATTGTCTGCCTTTGAATTATAATCACTGCTATTTACTGTCACTGGTCAAAATCTGGAATTGCCTCTCTAACAGCACTGTGGGTCCCTGTACATGCCAAGAGCTGTAGATATTCAAAAACACAGCTCACCACCACCTTCTCAAGGGCAGTTGAGGATGGGCAATAAATATTGCCTGGCCAGCAATGCCCCAATCCCATGAACAAATTTTTAAAAATCTCCTGTGCTTGCGGTCTAGCAGCACCTTAATTTTAAAATTCTCATTTTTGTTATACAAATCCCCTCTTGGGCTCTCCCTATCTACAAAATGTCCATCAGATCTCAACCTTCCAAGATATATCCATCCGTATAATTCTGAGTTTTTGAGTATGCCCACCCTTACTTGCTCTATTATTGGTGGTCTACGTTATAGCTCTGGGATTCCATACCTAAAGCCTCATAGACTTTCTTTCTTCCTTTTAGTATGATCCTTAAATCAGGTTTTTGATGATGAGTCGTAATATGCTTTGAATTTTTATTATTGCTAAAGAGACCATGTAAATATAAGTTGTTTCAGAGATAGTAGGAACTGCAGATGCTGGAGAATCTGAGACAACAAGGTGTAGAGCTGGATGAACACAGCAGGCCAAGCAGCAT